GGTAGGATTTCAAGGCTGTCTGATTGAAAAACCTGTTTAGATTATAATACTTAGTACTAGTCATTAAAAAAGAGTCCCAAGCAACACAGGGAATCCAGGACAGATGATCCCTTCAGGACCAGTGCTGAGAGTGGCGATACTGGGAGGGTGGAGGAAGGGTGGTGTAGAAAGGGGGAACTGATTACAAGGATCTACATATAACCTCCTCCATGGGGGATGGATAACAGAAAAGTGGGTGAAGGGAGACGTTGGACAGTGTAAGATATGACAAAATAATAATTTGTAAATTATCAAGGGTTCATGAGGGAGGGGGGAGCAGGAAGGGAGGGGAAAAATGAGGAGCTGATACCAAGGGCTCAAGCAGAAAGCAAATGTTTTGAGAATGTTGATGGCAACAAATGTACAAATGTGCTTGACACAATGGATGGATATATGGATTATGATAAGAGTTGTACAAGCCCCCAATAAAATGATTTTTTAAAAAGAGTTACAAGCAATGGTTTCTTAAATTTTCCATTGCAGTGACCAAGAATTGGTCTGACTACTCTATATATAATTTCTAATGAAGGTAGTGTAATATCAGGGTCTTGGAATCATAGATCATGATGTTTACTTTGGCACCAATTTTCTGATCTACCCAAGACAATTTTATGCTGCCTCTGAACATTAGTTCATTTATCTGTAAGATGGGTGTAATAGTCAAGTCTCTATTTATTAACTGTGTGATCTTGGTCAAGTTACTTCGGTTATTTGTGCTTCAGTTTTCTCATGTGAAAGAGGTAAATATTAATACTTCATTGAATTATGAAGGTTAAATAAATTAATAGATGGAAAACACCAGGAAATTAGTTTGGCACACAATAAAAAAACAAACAAAAAACCCAAACTTACTGACATTGAATCAATTCTGACTCACAGCGATCCTACAGGACAGAGTAGAATGGTCCCTGTGAGTTTCTGAAGCAGTAAATCTTCAGAGGAGCAGAAAGCTTCATCTTTTCCCGCAAAGAAACTTGTGGTTTCAAACTGCTGATCTTGTGGTTAATAGTACAACCTGTTTGCCCTCTAAATATTAGCTGTTATTATTATCATATTATCACTATAGGTTTTGTCAGAGCAATACTAGCAAACATACACTCACACATTTACATACCATCCATGGAGTGAACAGTCTCAAAGGCCACAATTTTGGGTGTCCCTGGGTTGGAATTTTTTATAAGTTTCTCCAGGTGGCCAGGATCATTGTGCCGGAAGACGAATTTGGTTGCACCACTGTTGCGGATACCTTGGATCATGGAAGCATGATTGCCTGCATCTGAGTATATGATGCACCCTGAGGAACCAGATGCATAACACTTAAGCTTCTGTCAAAGTATTTGTATCTAATCATTGAATTGGAAGGGCAGTTAGCCAACCCTCTTTTGTCTTTGAAGTTGTTTTGCTTCTTCTTTTTCTGAAAACCTTCATGATACCTTTCCCTCACCTGAAAAATCTCTTCTGCCCTGAAATTCTAATCCCAACATCGTTCCATCAAGTCATATCTAACTCTAATCTGGTCTCTGTTTTCACTGCCATCAAGTCAATGCTGACTCATCATGACCTCCTGTTGGTTTCTGAGATTGTAAATGTTTACATGAATAGAAAGTCCTCTCCTTTTCCCATGGAGCTGCTGGTGGTTTCAAACTGTCAACCATGTAGATTACAGCTCAATGCATAAGCACTTTTCCACCAGGCCCCCTGTTTTAGGATGGAATAAAGTTTGATTTCCCAGTAAGCTCTGGGGCTTCCTGAGAACAGGGCTCATATTCCTTCTGATATACAAAATTAGCTCTTGAAAAGGGATTTATCCCAGAGAATTCTTGTTAACTTTAACTGATGCTAAAGTCTTTCTGGCCTAGATAAAATCCAAACTCTTCCAGGTAACATCTCTCTGTTTATAGCTAAAAGATTAGATACCTATTATGTTTTAATAGCTTGAACCATTAGCTTATGGCATGTCAACACAGGAAGGCCCATTATGGAATCCAAACCCTTTAGTGTAAGGGGGCAGGGTTAGGCAAGGTCCAAAGAAGGGTAATACTTTCTTTAGGATCTAAGGAATGCAGCACTTTTTACTGAGAAATAATATGAATGTAGTGTGTGGGGTGGAGGGAGATGAAGAATTGATGGGGAGAGTTGACTCCTAACTTCTCAAATAATGCACTGAAACTAAGCAACTGTGACCTTTCCTAGGATTAAATAATCACTTTCGCCTCCAAAAATAAGGCACTACTTTCTGCAGGATCTGCCTTGCAGGAAAATTATACTGGAATTTTTTTTTTAAGAGCAAAAACTACTTTAAAAAATACTTTCTGTTCTTAGCACTCAGTGTAAGACTGAATAAACAAGAGATGCTAGGAAAATATTTCTTGAACTAATGGATAAATAAACAAATAACTGAATTATAATTGAGTAAATCGATGCATTAATAAATATGCGCCTGAATGAAACCATGAAAAGGAGGGTGTTAAAAGATGAGACTGAAGATGTAGGAAGAGACTAGAATATTTAGGTATTTAAAAACCATGATAAGATGTTTTGATTTGGTTCAAAGTTTAATGGTGACCCATTAAAGGATTTTGAACATGGAAGAAAAAGAGGCATATTATGCACTTTGAAACATCATTCTGACTGCCATGAGAAACAGATTGTAGGAGAAAAGCAAAGGTGAATTCAAGAAAATAATGGTGGTCTAGCTAGGGTGGTGGCATTGGAAAGGGAAAGAAGTTAAATTCTAATGATTGAGGATGAGTTTGAAAGGGAAAAAAAAAGCTGTTCGGTTTAATTGGAGATTATGAGATGTGTTGGGAAAAGTTCCTGAAAAGTAATGAGGTATTTACAATGTGATGAAGAATCAGCACAAATTGAGGGATTAGATAGCAAATATAGAGGCACTTCTTAAATAGTTTGCCTATTTCAAGAAGAAAAATATTAGGGCAGGAGCTAGAGAGTGATAAGAGTTTGAGACTTATAAAAAAGATGCAAGAGGTTTGAACATTTTTAAAAGCGGAGTCAGTAGAAAAGAAGAAGCTGAAAATAAAGGAAAGGGAGAGGAAACAGAAGATCAGATTTCCAGAGGAGTTTTCAATGAATGGAGAGAAAAAGGACACCCTTCCACTTAGACAATAGGGGAGGAAAAAGGAGAGGGTAGGTAGGGATGCTCATGATTTTGTAGTTATTTTGTAGAAAAGAATTGAAAACATTTCTGCCTGGGATTGTCTTTCAGTGAAGTAGGAGGTGAGATTTTATGGGAGCGCTAAGGAAAATGAGAATCTGGCAAAGATTGCCAGACAACTTAGAGGGATCATGATTTTTGTGTGATTTCTCAGCAATTATGGGGGCCCTGGATAAACATAGACAAGGTGGAGGGTTTATTAATCTAAGGTTGGGTCTATGATGGAAGGATGATAGGTCTATGAATTGACAGCACTATTGACTAGAGAATGGGAGCCAAAAAGATGGAATTCCATTTTCAGGTGAATGGAATGGCTTTAGGTAGAAGGTGAGATGCTTCTTCTGTTAAAAAAGAGTTTAATTAAGGGAAGGCAGATGACGAATCAGATCAGTTTGTATATGGTGGTAATAAGTAAAACGATTTCTTCTCTGCTTGCTTCTATTTTATTTGTACAGCAGGGGGTGAACTTATAAAATTTATAGGAATGAAGGAAGAGATAGTCAAAGATTTGAAAAGAGATTTTTAAAAGCTTCTTTGGAGAAAAAAGGATTGTTAAGAGCCCAGATGGATTAAGGAAGTGATGAATTTATGGTGTTATTGTTCTATGAGATTGAATGATACTCCCCAGTAGTGTTCCTCAGCCTAGGTATAGAAAGAAGATATAGTCACCCAGTGTTGAAGGTGTGTAATGTGGGTAGGAAGGAAAAACAATGGGAGAAAGTGAACTCACAAGAAAGGAAAGAAGTGAATGTAGTGAAGCCAGATGCTACAGTGAAGATACCAGTTCTGAGCCAAGCTTAATTCTGGGTCTTACCTGGAAGGATTTTGGCCAGGGTGAAGAGAGTAGAATCATTGGCCACAAAGCAGGAGGAGAAGAGCAGAGCTGAATCCTTTTGGTGCAGCTCAGCGAGCTCCTGCTCGAGCTCCACATGAAACTTACTGGTGCCTGAGATGTTGCGGGTGCCACCAGCTCCAACTCCATGACGCTTCAGAGTATTCCTTACCAGAAGAAAACAGAAGGGAAGAAAGGTAAAGAAACGTCCAGGTACTGAGGAACTGGGTAGTTTTTCCTCTCCCAGTGAGAGTCAGTGTTAACTTCCAACCAACCAACTCACTGTGCTCAAGTCTATGCAGACTCATAGCGACCCTATAGGACCCTATAAGGTATAACTGTCCCTGTGGGTTTCTGAGACTGTCACTCTTCACAGGAGTAGAAAGCCTCATTTTTCTCTCAAACTGTTGACTTAGTGATGCTATATAAGCTGTGTTCTATGTGACAAAATGGGAGAAGATGTTGGGAAAAGTAGGGATGTCTACACCTTCCTTCTCAGGGCAGAGGCATGCAGGGATGGAGATAGAAGCTATATTTAATAGCATGAAAAATCTTCTAGAGGAGTTCACACTCCATCACTGGCAAGATATTTCCTATACAGATTAAGAGTACATGGAAAGTGGAACTTGGTCTCTCATCCTTCACTTTAGAATTGGATATTTATGTGTTTGGTAAATATGGCATGTTGACTGAATTACTCATTTCCATTGAGTCAATTCTGACTCATACCAACCCTATAGGACAGGGTAGAACTTTCCTTGTGGGTTTCAGAGACTGTAACTCTTTTTGTGAATATAAAGCCTTATCTTTCTCCTGCAGAGTGGCTGGTGGTTTTAAACTGCTAACTTTGTGGGTAGCAGCCCAATGTATACCCACTACACTACCAGGGATCTTTTTTATTGATTTAGGGATTTGAGATGCTGTAAGTCATTCAGCAAGAGAGGTGATGAGTAGAAGTGGTTACCATCACCAATTCTGCCTTGCTTTTATATGTGTGACTTTGGTTCCTCTCTGGGTGTGTCTCCACAGATCATGACCCATACCCTACAACTCACTGTGTAGCCTGCAAGACACGAGGGTGCCTGCTCATGCCCAGGTAGTCATTACTGCACCAGACAGACACATCCTTTGAGGACATAGATGCCTCAGAGAAATGTTGGGCAAGGGGGTATGAATCGGCCCAGCGGTTCACAGTCTTGAATACACGGTAGGTGTGATCCTCTTTCTTCTCCATGATCTTGTTCCTGAAAAATTGATTGTAACCAAAGAAGTGGTTTCCTGCAGGAGTAGAGATGGGGATAAAAAGAATTTATTTTAAATCTCTTCCTGGTTAGCTTACATCTTATCCATGCTGTTAATGTGAAGTTATTTAATTCTTTTTCATTTATTTATTCACAGAGCCATTGAATTACTGGACCACATCCTTCAATCAACCAACTTTACGTACTCATTCATTCAGTAATGCTTCTATATTTCACTTGGGCTTCCTACCATTGACATGACCTCATTCATCCCTCTTCCCAATATAAATATGGCAACGTCCTTACTGAAAACAATTACTTCCAGAAAGGGCAGTGAGAGATCCAGGCTCTAGCTTTCACTTTGCCATTTCCTTCCTACTTGAGTGACCTTGAGTAAGTCATGGATTCTCTCTCTTTCTCAAACAAATGTATGGCATACAACAATAGGGGTGTTTGGCTTCTAAACAAAAGTGTGGTGATTCAAGTCCACACAGAGAAGCCTATAAAGAAAAGCCTGACAATCTACTTCTAGAAATTCATCCATTGAAAACCCATATAGCACATTTCTCCCCTGACACCCATGGAGTTGCCATGTATAAATATACATGAGTTGATACAAGAGAAGTAAAGGTGATAATGGAAGATGATATTTAGTTATAGTAAACATCATAATAACATATACTAGTAATGATAATAAAATTGACATATTGTGTTAGGTGCTATCAAATTTGTTCCAACTCATAATGACCCTGGTTATAACAGAAACACTGCTCAATCCCTGATATCCTCATGTATGTTGTGACTCTTGAGCCAATCATTGTAGCCATTGTATCAACCTATCTCATTGAATATCTTTCTCTTTTTTATTGCCTATTTTACTAAGCATGATGGCCTTATCAAAAACCTGGTACCTCCTGATGACATACCACAATACATGAGATGGAGTCACCATCCTCACTTCTAAGGAACATTCTGGTTGTACTTCTCCCAAAAAAAGGTTTGTTTGCTTTTCTAGCAGTCCATGTTGTATTTAATATTTTTTGCCAGCATCATAATTCAAAGACATCAACTTGTCTTTTATCATCCTTATTCACGGTAAGTTTTCACATGTATATGAGGTAACTGAAAATAGCTAATTAATTATATTCTCATAGTCAATATAAAATGACTGAATATTCTGTGTCAGGCAATATCTTAAGAAATCTACAGGTGTTATTCATTTATTCCTCACAATAACCTTATGTAATAAGTTATGTTAATATCTCCATTTTCAAGATGAAAAAACTGAGGCATATAGTGGTTAAATAATACTACCAAAGTCATGCAGCAAGTAAATAGCCAGAAAATAAGTAACTCATAGCCCAATTCTGTAACTTATATGACTATAAAATGAGACAACCCTATCTGGGGGATAAATTAAAATAATGTATGAAATAATAATAAATGGAAATAATATATAAGGGCTTTTTATACATATGACAGAAATCATGACTGTTGCAGATAGTGATTTATATGGCTGATGGTATTATAAATTGGCAGCATCTTTATTTTGGTGACATTTGGAAATATACACAATCTTTAAAATGCATACCTACAAGAGTCTTTAAAATGCATAACTACAGAAATGTTTTTCATTGGATTTGATAGAGAAATTATTATTATCCAGAATTTATTCTTAAAAATCTTTGAAAAATTACTATGAAAATATTTCAATTTGGTAGAAAAAAATGGGCAAGTATTATGAACATATAATTCAACAAATGTAGAAAAATGGTTAATTGAGGAAAATCAAATTTGGAGAAATAATTTTCACCAGTCATATTGATAAAGATTTGAAAGTTTAATAATACCAAGTGTTAGAGAAGGTGTGAGACTATGGAAACTGTGATAACTAGTAAAGCCACTTCAGAGAGATAAGTATCAGTCTGAATTAAGATTTTACTAATATTTTAAAATATTTTATTAATTTAGAGAAATACTTGCCTCTACACTAATAAGTGCATTCAAGGAAGATTGTTGCACAATTTTAATAATAGAAAGAAGAAATAAAAAAGCCAATAGAAAGTAATGAATCTCTTTTATATCCATACTATATAATATTATAAATAATTTAAAAATGAAATAGATATACATTATTTGCATTAACAAAGGAAGATCTCCAAGGCATACTGATGAATGAAGAAAAAAATCACAGAATAATAAGTATAGTAAAATATCAGTACACTAAAATAAAGCATAAATAGGTAATGCCATAATTTTATTTGGGTATATTTATATGTATGTAACACCAAAGAAAAATTTCTAGAATAACAAAATTCAAAAAGATAAAAATGGAGTTGGAAGTGGTAGTGAAAGAAAGAATTAGATTGTTTTGGAATTTCATAATTTTTAAGACCTTTTTGAATTATTTTGCAAGTAGAAATGAACTTTTAAAGAAACACACACAAATGACATACTATTTTTAATCCAGGAATTTCACTGAAAGAACGTATCCAAACAAAAGATATTTTTAAATGATAAAAGTGCATGTACTATAGATATTCATCACAAACTTGGGAGTAACCACCTAAATGATTAAATGATTAAATGTGCCTATACTACAGAATACATTTCAACCACGAAAACTTATTATGCAGTTTTATGTTGATGGACAAAAAGTGGTGCCCATGTCATATTGTAAAGCAAGCATAACAGTATACTAAGCTCCATCCTTTCATATTTATAATAGAAATATGCATCGGAGGCAAAGAGTATTGTGAATGTCTGTGTGTGTTGTTGTTAGATGCAATCGACTCAGTTCTAACTCAAATATACCCTATGTACAACTGAGTAAAACAAGTGCACTTTTGAGTCCAATGTTGTAGCCACTGTGTCAATACATCTGGTTGTTGGAACTTCCTCTTTTATTACCCCTCTACTGTACCAAGCATGATGTCCTTCTTCAGGGATTGGCCTGCCCTAAGATGTCCAAAGTATATGAGATGACATTTCCTCATCCTTACCTCTAAGAAGCATTCTGGCTATACTTCTTCTAAGACAGATTTGTTTATTCTTTTGGCAGTCTGTGACTTTCAATATTCTTCGCCATCACTGTAATTCAAATGAACTCAATTTTCTTTTGTCTTACTTATTCAGAGTCCAACTTTCATATGCATATGGGGCGATTGAAAATACCTGAGGATGATATTCCTGCTCAGAGCAGCCAATGCACAGAGAGGACCATAAGGCCAGGCCCACTACGAGACAAGATGTCTCTCACTGACCCATAGTGCTAGAGAAGACACCATTGGAGACACAGTGTGGGAATTGCACCCACTCTGACCCCACCAGACTGAGGCAAAACACTAAGGAAATGCAACAGAACAGCAAGGGGAACAGAGGAAAGAAACCCCCAGGGAATACCAAAAATAGATTTTGGGGCCAGGGCATGGTACCTCATAAGACTAGACTGGAAAACACCCTTAAATGTCGACAAATAGACCTTGAACTATTTACAGGCTTTTCTTTTCTTTTTGTCATTGGTTTCTGTTGTTGTTGATTTGTTTTGTTTTTTGCTTTGTTTTGATCTGTCTTGGTTTTTGTGCATATTACTATCTCTGCAGGTCTATCTACATAAGATAGGTGAGATAAACAATCTGGAGGAGAAAACAACAGAACCAATGGCTCCAGGGGGATTTGGGAGAAGGTGAGGCAGGGGAAAGGAAGTAGGTGTTAACAAACCCAGGGACAAAGGAACAACAGGTGATCCAAAATCGATGGTAAGGAGGGTATAGGAGGCCTGGTAGGGCTTGATCAAAGGCAATGTAACCGAGAGGAATTACTGAAACCCAAATGAAGGCCAAACATGATAGTGGGACAAGAGGAAAGTAAAAAGAAATAGAGGAAAGAACTGGGAGGCAAAGGGCATTTATAAAGGTCTAAATACAGTCATGTACATATTACATGTACATATATTTATATATGATGGTGGGGAAATAGATCTTTGGGCATATCTATATATGTTTAATATTAAGGTAGCAGATGGACATTGGGGTTCTACTCAAGTACTCCCTCAATGCAAGAACATGTTGTTCTATTAAACTGGAATTCCATGATGTTCACCTTCCCGACATGATCGCTGAAGATAAAGCGGGTGCATAAGCAAATGTGGTGAAGAAAGCTGATGGTGTTAAGCTATCAAAAGATATAGCATCTGGGGTCTTAAAGGCTTGAATATAAGCAAGCGGCCATCTAGTTGAGAAGCAACAAAGCTCACATGGAAGAAGCACACCAGCCTCTGTGAACATGAGACATTGGTAGGATTAGGTATCAGGCATCAAAAATCATATTGTGAATGAGGGGGAATGCGGAGTGGAGACCTAAAGCCCATCTGTAGGCAATTGGACATCCCCTTACAGAAAGGTTGTGGGGAGAAGATGAGTCAGTCAGGCTGCATTATAGCACCTTTCCTCTAGTTCTTTAAGGCTCCCCACTATCATGATCCCAATTCTACCTTACAAATCCAGCTAGACCAGAGGATGTACACAGGTACAGATAAGAGCTTGAAACACAGGGAATCCAGGACAGATAAAACCCTCCGGACCAATATTGAGAGTAGTGATACCAAGAGGGCAAGGAAAAGGTGGGGGTAGAAAGGGAGAACTGATCGCAATGATCTGCATATAACCCCCTCCCTGGGGGACTGACAACAGAAAAGTGGGTAAAGGGAGACACCGGTCAGTGTAAGACATGAAAAAATTAATAACTTATAAATTTTCAAGGGTTCATGAGGGAGGGAGGGTGGAGAAAGGAGGGGGAAAATGAGAAACTGATACCAAGGGCTCAAGTAGAAAGGCAATGTTTTGTGAATGATGATGGCATCAAATGTACAAATGTGCTTGACACATGAATGGATGGATGGATTGTGCTAAGAGCTGTATGAGCCCACAATAAAATGCTTTAAAAAAGAAAGAAAAGACTGTGGCCTGGGGCAAAACACTAAGGGCATGCGACAGAGCAGCAAGGGGAGCAAAGCAATGAAATCCCCGGGGAATACCA